CGCTCTCAGTGTGGATGGAGCCCGATGTGGGGCTCAATCCTATGACGCTGGGATCATGACCTGAGCCAAAACTCAATCGAATCAGCCACCCAGGCGTCCCATGGCTTACAAAATTGTTTAAGAGCAGATCCTGGGCTAGGATTTGACAACTTTGCCTTTGACACAGACACCAAATAGTTTCTTTACAAAGGACAGAAAAGATGCCATTTCTGTACCTCACCCAGGTCATGGGAGGCAGTTTGCGAAAAGGGGAACTGAGTGGTGGTTTGGGGTCTCTTCACCCCAGCTGTACAGATGGGCCTGGAGTTTGCAAGTGACAACTCACACATACAAGTGGAGTCAGGGACAAGTTTTCAAGGAGGGAGCAAGCTTCACAGAAAGCCTGAACGGAAGGGCTACTTACCTGGGAGATCATCCCAAAGCAATCAATCGGATAAATACATTCACCGAAAGACTATTGAAGCAGAAGATTCAGCCAAGTAGCCACTATCATGTCACACGGCTCTTTTCTCACAAATTCTTAAAGTTGATTCTCTCCTAAGCCACCCTATACCTCAGCATTCTTAAGAAAGAAAAGAGGGGATGTAATATGTCACTGATGGCTAATCTTCCCTTAAAGTTATTAGAATTTAGAACAACGATAATATCCTCAAAGACAAAGATGGCTGTGTCTTCCAGGCGGACCTAATGTTTTGAAGAATCTATTAAAAATTAAAATACTTCTTCACAGCAAAGTACATATACAAATGGGGCAGGCTTGTGATACTTAAACATGGGTTACACTTTCCCTCTGACTGTGTCAGTCAGGGTTCTCCAGAGAAACAAAACCAGTAGGAGACACATATGAGTACATGGAGAGAGAAGGGATTCGTTCTAAGGAATTGGCTCACATAATCATGGAGACTGACAAGTCTTCAGATCTGCAGGGTGAGTGGACGGGACCCAGCTAGGGACCCAGGACAGCCAATGGTTCAATCCACTCCTAAGGCAGGAAAAAGCCAATGTCCTAGGCTCCAAGGAATGTCCTCTTACTCAGGGTAAGGTTCCATTTAGTTCTATTGAGGCCCTCAACTGATTGGATGAGGCCCACCCACCCAGGAGAAGGCAACTGGTTTCATTCAGTCTACAGATTCAAATGGTAATCTCATCCAGCACCACCCTCACAGACACAACCCAGAATTATACTGGATCAAATGTCTCCCGACACCCCAACTGACACATAAAAGTCACTGACACTTGCCAGTGCGGGCAGAGCAACTGGGACTCCCATCCTTTGCTGAAGGGACTGCTATCCGGTGCAGCCGCTTCAGGAAACAGCTCAGCACTTTCTTAGAAAGTTAAACACGCAGTTATGTGTGACACAGCAATCCCACTCACGGCTCGTGGGTATTTACCCAAAAGAAATGAAAACTTAAGTTCGTACAGCAGCTTGCAAGTGAATTTTTATAGCAGCTCTGTTCACCATCACCAAATACCAGCAACAACCCAAATGTTCTTCCGGGGGTAAATGGACAGACAAGCATCCACGCAGAATACCACTCAGCAGTAAAAGAGAGCAAAGCACCCATGTATGAAACTGAAAAGTAATGTGCTGAGTGAAAGAAGTCTCAAAAGACTGAATATTGTCCAATTCTATTTATGGGACACGTTTGAGAAGACAGAACAGCTCAGCGGTGGCCAGGAGGTAGGGGGGCGGAAGGTGTGTGTGACTCTATAGGAGTAAGACGAGGA